CTGCAGAACCGCATTACCTTCCTCATCCGTCTCGTACAGCGCGACCGTCGCATCGCCCGAGGCATGATTGGCCATATCCACGCAAGGTACCATCGCATGGCCCGTTCCCGGGAGGTCCAACGCGCGCGACCGGTACAAGGCATCGACCATCTTCCAGTCGTCAAACGTCAATCGCCCCGTGTCGACATCCCACCATTCGCGCGCACACCACGGGATCTTCGCCGTCGAGGTGCGGAGATGCTCAAACTCTCGCTCCAGGGAGGCGATCTTCGTATCGACGGCATCTTTGAGCGACGTGCCGTACAGCAGCGAGCGTTCGTCGTCCGTGTAGAACGTCGGCAGAGGCACAGAGGCGGGGAGGAACTTGATGTATTCCGACCAGGGATTCGATACCCCGATTCTCGGCTGCGCGTTGTCTTCTTGGCTGGAGTAGGTGATTTGGAGCAGGAGGAAGATCAAGATAGCGCCTCGAGCTGTCTACAGATATCAGAAATGCCATAAAAATAAATAAGTGACAAGAAAATAATTCAAAAATGGGAATAAAAAAAAGAAGAATACGTACTCTCCCATACTCCCCAACCGCATCCAACACCTCCCGCAAATAGCGATCCGACTTGGCATAACTATCCACCAGCTCAAGCGACAGGACCATATCCGGCGGCACCCTGATGAGGATCTCCGGCCGCGAATCTTCGCTCGCCGGATCGCCATTGTATTTCTCCTCCTTCGCAATGACCGCCGAGCCCTTGTCCGTGCCGTCGGAGGACTGGAAGCATTCGAATGCGACGCCGTGGCAGATGATGCCGTTCAGCCTGGCCCAGGCGGGGAGGGCCTCGATGGGGAGGTATTGTCGCTGAAGCGTCATTGTTGGAGCGTGCGAATTATCGTCATCTCAATTGAACAGCATGAGGGGATGGCTGTGTACGGATTAACAGACGCCGATGCGCCCGCCTTATCGATAAGCTTAATGACCTAAAGTTAACGGATTGTTTCAGCCCTAAGCCCTAAACCCTGACTGACTGATTGGAAGTGTCTTGGTATTGCCGCATCTAGACGTCATACCAATTTGCAGCCAGGACCCTACCTAGGTAGCTAGCTGCTTAGGTATTTGGGTCTTGGGGAAATATCAGAGGACAATAATGTAAAACAAACAGGGCCATTCGGTATACAAGTCTAGTGAGAAGATCGATACCTCACATCTATCTCCCTTTACAAATACAATACAACAAACAGATCGTGCAGCAGTGCTACATACGTCTCATCTACAGCATACAGCTTACATATGTAAACTATACTATCTAAACGACCACCATGCCAAGCAACCGCAGAATGCCACCGTGGACCTCCGCAACACGACAGCTCCTCATACCATGTCCACCCCGACCCTATCTCTTCCCTCTGCAATCAATCCTTCTGCCGACGAGCATCCCGACGCCGAACAGCGTGCGCGCCCGTCTCAAAGGCGACACCGTCCACGACCATGCCAAGAGAGCAGCATTCAAGGACTGGACGGGCACAACGACGCAGGACCACGCCGTCAACCGAGCCAGCAATAGGGACATCACGGACCCGGAGATAGAGTCCACCGTCGCAGGGCTGCAGGAGCGCGACGAGAACGAGGGCATTGCGGACCAGAGCAAGAGCCATGCGACGACCGAGAGGGACTCGGGGAGGCACAGCAAGAGGGCCAAGGAGGAGTCGCCGGCGGCTCCGGAGCCGGTGATTGGGATGACTGATGAGAAGGGTCATGTGAGTTTTTGATTTAGTCTTCACTCCCTTATACTTCCTCATTCTAGTCTTCTGTCGTACAGCTAGCTAACTCTTGCCCTACAGAAAGGTCATTGAGATAGCCTCTACCTGAGATCTCGTGGGCGCTGACTGCAATGGCATTACATCTGTTTCGGGAATCGTGATATTGGAACTGTACAGTACATGGTAATATATTGTCGGCTAACGGCCAACCTTGAAAGAAAGTATCTGCAAAACGAATGTCAATACGTCTGCGTAATAGTTCGATTCGGGGAACCTGCACATACATCATGTTTCCCAACTTCCACAATTTCATCCTCTGAAACCCTGACTCCCCCGGCTGATTCGACATAGGATATAGGAACATCGCCCATTACTTTCCGGGCAACGTCACCCACTGTGCTATTTCTGTAATGATGGCAATGGTTAAATATGCTTTCCTCAAACGAGGCCCGCTATCAGACTCACTTTTTGACCAGGACGCAGTCTCTAAAGACTGCTTTACCGCTGTCGGACCCAAACGTATGGATGTTTTTGACTGGAAATACCGGTACGAGACCCAGGAGTTCTGCCGCTCTCGAAAGGCACTGCACGACTCCGGTCGACCCAAACCGGTACAGCACCATATCCTTTAAATTCTCCACGCGACTTATTCCAGGTTAGCGGAATACACAACCGAGTCACCGACACGTGGAAATCAGCTTACTTCTTCAACTTCTCGTCCATCTCCTTCAGGCCACCTCCGTCCGGATCGCCCATCTCAATTAAATCTTCTCGAGTGTCGACGAACTCGCCGCCTTCCACGTACCTGATGTAGCCTTGTTTTGCCAGTTTTCGGAGGAAGACCTCCGATATGGCAGAGCAGAGCACAATCGACTTCGGGTCTTGCATTCGGGCGATTTTGCTGATATTCTACGCACATCGTCAGAAAAAAAAACGAAGTTCAGCATACTCCTGGCGCGCATCTCACCTTATCTGCGTCTGGATGGTCTATCTTATTTAGCGCATAAACAGTCGGAAACTTCTCGTCCACAAAAGCGTTCACGACTTTTTCGATCGTCTCCTCCGACCATTCTTCGAGGGGCTCTTTTAACTGCAAGCGGTCGAGACACCGTGCGACAATCTGTGCCGTACTTCCGTATCCGGAAAATTGACTCTGTAGCGTTTCAACGGCCGTTGCCTCTGCCTAGGTATTAGAAAGTTTTGCAACAGCAATAATATAGACTAGCCCATACTTGTCGCAGTATGCCGTCGCTTAATGGAGCCCCTGACAAAGTTAGCACTTGACAAGCTACAGGTCAGGGGGAAAGGCTTACCATTTCTCCATCAGATTTCCTTGAACCCACCGTACAATCTCTGATCGAAGCCAGACGATATCTTGCGAGGGATCATACCCTCGCGTTTCCTTCCCTAGGTTTTAAAACGTAAGAGCGAGAAGTAAATCGAACGCACCAAATGCCATGCTCCATACCTTCCGCATCTGTCGTTCCGCTAACATCGACAACATGGATCAAAGCATCCGCATGGCGCAGGTCATCCAAGAACTTGTTTCCCAGCCCCCTCCCCTGGTGCGCACCGGGGACAAGTCCCGCGACATCTAGAAGTTCAATTGGCACGGAACGCCGCCCATCCTGGCAGCCGCCGTAGTTGGGCTTGCATCTGTCCGACAGATTGTATCGTTTGCAGGCGCAGTCGATCTGGAGGTAGCCGATGGCTCGCTGGGGGTCGATTGTGGTGAAGCTAAATTCGTATTAGAATACGTATTCCGAAGGCGCATGTCCATGTTCGTAGACGCGAAGAAAAAGAATAAATATATCGAGGAAGGGAGGAAGGAGGGGCAGAGAGCGGGGTCGCCGTACGGGAAATTTCCTACACATCACAACATCTGTCAGCGCGAATTCAAAGAATAAATAGTCGAGGCAGACAGACGGACGTACCGACTTTTGAAGACGCATCAGTCAGACTGTTCAGCGTCGTTGACTTGCCACTGGAAGGCTACATGCCCCTCATTCGTCCGGGTCAGCTTGCAGACCGTTGCGGAAACAGCATTCCAACCGACCTTTCCTACGAGCCCGATGAGCGGGTCACGAGGCATATTTGAAGCGCGTCAATTATGCAGAGAGGGAAAAAAGAAAAAGGGAGAAAAGGGAGAGAGGATTATCGGTATGCAAGACAAGTTGACGCGGGCTGATTTTCAGTCGCGATATGGCGGACTCCGACGGAGTGGTTTTCTGCCGGTTGATAAAGGAAGGCGGTGAGTGAGCAATACATATATCTTTACGTGTTGGAGAACAAGATTCAATAATTCTTTCTATAATCCAAGTTTAAGTATATAAGAAGAAGTTGCATGTTGCATCTTGACTATTTTCAAGTTTCTGAACAACTTTACAGCTGTAAGCAGATGGAGTCAGATTATTAGTTACCTCAATACGTTTACATGTATGTACATATGTATCGTCAAGACTGAAATTGATATTATAACAGCCTACAGATCTGATTTTGCTATGATAATTCTCATATACAGGAATAATCGTTACCTATCATTTAAGAATTTATTGGTCCTTTTCGATGGTAATCAGAAGCACAGTATACGCATAGGAACATATCTCAGAAAGTTGACCAATTGAAATAGATACATGTGCGTTTTCGCTGCAAAAGACACATATTTACTCCAGGCAAACCGACACGTGAATCAATTCATTCTAACCATACATGTATCTACTATGTTAAGCTCTGTTATACCAGTTTTTGAGCACCTCTGTTGACGACTTCCTTTTAACTGAGCAATCACATGAGATGATGGTGAGGGCAACATAAGCTCCTCAATGACGGCTTCTCATCGCCTCCGTCATACTATACAGTCCATGAAGATCTTTCTCAACCTGGACCATGGGACCTCAGCGAAAGGTACACACGATCACCATCCTCTTTCATATATCGAAAGAATCAATCGCGTAGTCTGATATTATGTACAGTACAGTACAATTGAATTACGATGGCTGGCTGAGATTCCCGATTTGGGTTCTACGGAACAGAGTCTCTTTGGAAGACCAGACAGAACTAGACCTTGCAGTGTCGTCATACCACCACACGCCACTGTCTGAAGACCGCCATCCTTTTTGAATTTTTGATCTTAGATTTAAAAAAAATACGACAACAATCGACATCCTCTAAATCGCCACTTTCTTCATCTTTTCTTCTTTTTGAAGCTACTTGTCTGTCTGTCTGCCATCATGACTGACCCTACTTTCCACCGAACCAAGCAGGACGTCCGCAAGCCAGAGTCGCGACTCAGTCTGAATCATCGCGGCCGCGTTCCCGCCACGTCGGACGTTTCTGCGATGAAGGTGAGCCTAGCTGCTAACTCGCTCAAAAATCGCCAGATCATCAGCACTTAAAAGACACCAAACTAATATATGTATTGTATTTTTCAGTCCATAATCGACACCAACGTCGACAAATGGAAAGAGATCAACGAGCGCAAGGCCAACCTACCCTTACCAGAGGATCCCCCGACAGCATCCGACTGGGAGTCCGCAGACATCAAGATCGGCGACGGATCCGGACGGCTTGAGGGCCCCGTTTCGGGCGAGAATAACAGTTCCCTGCGATGGCCCGATACGGCGAGCAGCAGCGCGAGGATTTCGGGGAGGGAGTATAAGACGAATACGGAGCCCGGGCCGGATGTGGGACGGCAGGGGAAGGATGGGTTGAGTGATTTGCCTTGGGATGCGAGGGCGCATTAATTAAATATAAATTACTTTATAAATCTATATGTATAGATGTATAGATACTTCTGGGATTATTTTTCTCTTGTGATTACCACCAGCTGTTTGTGAAAATAAATATGAAATTAGATTAGATGCCATAACTGAACGAGCTATGAGCTATAGATCACTTTTCAATAATAGCACTTCCATAGAAGGTGCACTTTTTCTAATCACTTTATATCATCCCAACAGGGTTTGACATAGCTATACTACACTTCATGGAAAATATTCTCTCCAGGAGTTGTTTATTTCTCGAACGTGAGTGATGTTTGCACCGTTTTCCTTGATGCCCGGCCCTATGATGTCATTGTCATTCTGGAGATATCGTTTGCAAGGCAGGCATTATTTATTCATAACTTCAGCCTTAAGCTAGCTGGTGGCCGTTGCGTATACAGTCTGATGTACTTACTCCATACTCCGCTGGCAGAAAAATACCAGCTCCACCTCCCTGCAGCACCATCTTCCATCAGTATGTCTAGCGAATCTACTTTTACTCCCGACGTATCTTGTTTTCTTCCCCAGGACAACGCCCCCTGACCCTAACTACATAGGAAACGCCCCCGTAAGGATGACATCACGCTCTCCATCATCATCATACATGCCATCTCCGAGCGTTCAACTCCGGCAGTAACTTTTGTGGCCAGACTGAGCTATGTAGCGTTTTTTTCCCCCCCATCTGCTGGCTTCATCTATCCCATAATTTTAATTTATCCTGATCTCGAAGAGTCTGGCCGATCATATTCGAAAATGGATTTCCAAGGAACGCCCATCGGCAACGCGAGGAAAGGCACCAAGGTATGCACATATATACATACATGCATGCATGCATGGGAGGGAGAAATAATCCAACCTAACTCTCTAGGTCACCACCGACCCGAGAAACTACAACCGACCGATCAACGAGGGAGCAGGGGCTATTGCCAGCGACTCGCTGGCCGCAGAATCCGTGCGCGCTGGAGGTGTATTCTCAGAGAATCGCGACAGCCAGCCGCTGAGCGTGTCGGGCAGCCAATCGACGCTCAACAACCTCAACACATCGGGGGCAGCTAAGCTGCACAAGTCCGAGAGCGCAGCTACCCGCGACGACCCCAATCAACAGGAGAGATACCCGGAAGCCCTTGGCGGACAGGGCGCCTACCCGGGACATCATATTGGGACGGGGGGATATGTGGGAGGGTCGAACAAGGCGAAACACGATCTGGGTCTGCAGGGCCACGAGTACCACACGCACGGCGCGACGGAAGCCTGCGGCACTGACGGCTACCGGAGCCAGTACAACGGCGGGATTGCGCCGTCGTATATCAACTCGGTGGTCGAGAATGCCGGCAGCACCAACGTCAAAGACCCCCGGGGCAACAACCTCCGCGAGGGCGGCTTCGACAGCAACCCGAACAACAACGCCAGCTTTACCTCTGACATTGGCAGCAACAAGGATCCCGGGCGCAAGGCCGAAAGCCAGTATCAGCGCAAGATGGCCGAGAGCGGTGTCGAGGCGAGGGCCATCCAGCAGCGGGTGGAGAAGTGTGCTCAACCGTATAACCCGTTGGAACGGGAGGAGAGTGCTTAGGATGGCGTTGTTGTGAATACAAAAGAATACTATACGAGGAACATTTCGAAGGTATGGAGAGAGGGCTCGAATGGTGTATCTTTGGCATATCCTGTATCATAAAAGAATCATCCACGTAGCTTGATAAGGGTACTTACTGTATATGAAAAATAGACTAATAACTCCGACAGCAGTTACTGAGTACTGGAAAAATATCCAGGTATATGTAAACCCTAATTGCTGAAGACAGAAATGATCTGATCTGATCTGTCAAGTTGCCCAACACGAGCGTCATCTTTATCCTGATTTATGGGTTAGGGTTAGGCGTTCACTCTCAGCAATCATCCTATATTTCTCTTTATCTGAGGTTGAAGTCATTCCCCTGTATATATAGAGTAGTGCTCATCTCACCGGCTACATCGTCAGATATATTTTGTCCTGCATGACACGGCTGGCCAGTTGTCAAGGTCAGGGATGGGAAACCTTCACCGTCGGCTTTTGATAATTTTCAACGAGGTCGATCTCTCTTGGCCAGTAGGAAATCAGGCAACTCTTGACCACGTGCACGAGCTTTCCCTGGTAGAAAACTGGTCGCTGCCAACCCCATGATGCCGCACGGACTGCTCTCGATCGATCGATCGATCGATCGATGGCTGCCAAGACTTGAGTGGTCATTTGCTGCAAAATGGCAATTGCAATGGCAATACCAATGCCAATGCCAATGCCAATGCCATCTGTCAAGCACAATCCGTGGAGTTCTTCTCTTCATCCGATCCGTGCGTCGGCGCAAGTTCCTGCTTTTGTCGCGATTAATATCCTCCACGCCGCGACTGGCCCAATGGACGACGGCAGCAGTCCACGTGAAGCAGCAGAGGGATGCCATGCGGTCGACGTTGCCTCGTGGCGCGCGGAGAAGGACATCTTGGCGCTTGGCAATCGAGTCAGTGCGCCGGCCTGTCGCCATCGGGGGTAGAAGGGGTTTTCTGGTCGACGTTCGATTTTTTCTTCGGCGTTCTACGCAGATGCTCCTGCCATCCTGTCATGCTGGATGCTGCGTGCCAAGTCTGGGTCTGGATGCTTGTGCGAGACTTGGCTTTCTGGCATCATCTCCCGGCCAAGAAGCCAAGCCGGGCCAGGCGCAAACCGGGCGGGATGTCGTGGTTGACGCTGCTGACTCAGGATCATAGTAGGATCAGAGTGATGATAATAATAATAGTCTTGTCTGCAAGGTACAGACTCCTCCTTAGGGTTGCTTCAGCTGGTTGTCGTGACTGATAGCCTGTTTCGGCCGGGCTAAAACGTTCTGGAAGGCTGACACGCCGAAAAAGGCAAGCGCGATGCTCGGTCGGGGCGGGCGATGCCGACCATGCCCGATGCGGCAGTCGTGCCTTCCCACCTGCAGTCGGCAACTGCGACCATCCTGCCATGCGGCTGAAGGCACACGGAATGGACAAAGTGAGATAATAATAATAAATAATAATATTAATTACACGAACAGATGGATCGTGTTTTTTTTTCTTAAGTTCGAACCTTGGACAGCCAAGGACCGGCTTCCGCCGAACTCCGCTGTCCCGTACCTAGGTCGTACAGTACTCGTACAGTTATCATTGATGAAACACACGTGCTGCCAGTTCTAATTAATAATGCTACCAACAACCCCAAACACGGTGATATCACAGCACAGCCGAAGGATGGGAATGTTGGCGTTAGTCCTAGTATGGACATTGTTGTATTATTAGGCCCGGTGTCCGGCCCCAGATCTGCAGCCAGCCTTGGCAATATTTGGGGGTTGGTCTCCGTCGCAGGCAACCATTGCCCGTTTCTTGTCCAAAATCACCGGGCAGAAAAACCGGCACCGGGACAAGTTCTGGCAATTCGATTTCCCGTCCGAGCACGGCTCCAGGAGGCGCTCCGGACCTAGTTCGTGAAGTCGTGAGCTCAGGGCGCGCGGCCAAGCCTGGAGCCAGAGGGCGGAGGAGCGTCCAGGACAGTTAGAACCTAGCGGGGGGCATTATTCGCTCTGCTGATCTCACTCGCATCGAGTAGGTAGCCAGCAGCCTGTGCCGCGGTGGATCCGTCCTTCTACCGCCGTTGATTAGCTCTCCTCGTGAGGCTGTGGATGAGGTGATCCATGCTCATCCTGTGCTACGCCGTGCTTAATAGTTGTCATAGGGCTGGCACGCTTCTAATATTAATCGTAGGCACTGACCTGGTCGTGACCTGGGACCTGCTCCATCGATCCCTTCCTTTTTCTGCGCTTCAGCCCCAGGAAGCGTTTACAAGATGGAGTAGTATCGCATGATCGCCTGAAGATAATATTAATAGCATGACCGTTGCTTTCTCTTTTCTTCCTCGAAGTTCCTCCCACTAGAGACTTCTGTTTTCCTGCCGTCGCAGTGACTGCTTTCATTACCGTCTTATCATCCATTACCATCGTCGTCTACTCACACTAGTCCGTCAATCATTTGCTGTTGAATTATTTCCGGAATTTTTGCAGAAACGGTCATATCGACAGATTTGATCTGATAAACGGTCAACCATTCGCATCTCCCTACTTGGGAGAGAGCAGCAAAGAAAGAGTCAGGACGACCTTACTCAAAATGGCTCCGATCAACTTCGCGGGGTGTAACACGGCACGGACGAATAATAACTGGTCCAGAGCAGCCGCCAGGGGAGGGAATATGGACAAGGTATGAAATTTATTACCATTCAGATCGCGACAAGAAAACGAGACTCACGCGCCGTAGGATTCCATCGAGAGCTTGCTACGCGAACTAGGCATTGAAGGGAACGATACCATAAGGAAGAACTTGTCGCGATCCCGTTTTCGTGATCGAGATGGGCAGAAACAGCCGTCCAGGAAGGATACGACGAGCGAATCATCACATGATCGCGATGAGGATGTCACGAGACTATTGCAGGACGCTCGACACCGACAACACCAGACACCAAGCGACCAGTTGGACGAAGAGGGCCTCATAGAGAAAACAGCAAGAAAAGACCAGCCTTGCGAGGAGGAAGACGTGGACGTGTATCGGGATTGTCACTACAGCAAAGGCAGTGCCTATGGATACCTGATCAATCGCTGTCCCGATCCCCCGCTGGCCATCACGACTTCGAAGAGTCACGCCTACAGTCATGGCCGTGGTCATGGCCATGGCCAGGCCACCATCGCCGGTACGGCCGCCGCACTTCGACGCTACGATATGCTATTCGCACCGGGAATGATCCTGTTCGCCATGCTGCTGCTGCTTCTCATTGCGGTGGCGATCGTCGAAGCAGTGGATGTGATCTGGAAGAAGAGTAAGGAGGACGAAGACGACGACGAAGACGAAGACGACGAAGATGACTTGGACGAGAAGATATTATAGTACAGAGCGAATCGCCTCGAAGGACGCCCGCCCCATCAGGGCTTTTTCTTACCTTATCGTCATGTGTACAGTACTGTACATACATGTGTACATAGACCTCTTCTCTTCTTGGTTCGGTTGTGATATTACACAGAAGTTGTTCGTGGTTGGTTGGTTGGCTGGTTGGTTGGGATTGGGAGCGCTCTTTGTCATGGAATAGAACGTATTGTTGTCACCTTATTTCTGTCAGTTGCTATCAAAACAATCGATCAGAAAAGTTCCTAAAAAGGAAGGGGATGGTTAGGAAAAGCATATGTGTGTATGTCAGGCCTCTAGCAGAAAAGTCCCTATCCTGCTATAAGAAACATACAATTCATTCGTCCGTACCTCCATACAGACAGGCACCTATCTGCCAATATGAGAATACCTAGTTGGTGGCCTGATCTTGGCCCTGCAGGGGCAGTAGAGCTGGAGTCATAAGTCTAGCAGTAGCCTTGTAGTCAGTAGCCCTGGGATCTCTCGCAATATTACCTACCGGATAATATGCAAATATAACAGTAGTTAATATAAACAATTTAAATATCACTGCCATTCTCGTATAAATGTCCTCTTACCCGGAGTAACGAAGTACCTACTAGGTAACGTAATCCACCACCGAGCTGCGCGGACCACCGAGCTGCGCGGCCACCACCTCGGCCACCCCCTATCATCGGATTTATCGCGATTTACCAACGCACCGCGTCATGGCTGATATATCAAAAGAAGGGCGTATGCAATTAGCACTTGAAGCCTATAAGAAAGGTCTTTTTCCATCAAAAACTGCAGCTGCCAAAGCTTTTGACGTGCCTCCAAGGACCTTTATGACACGCGTTAATGGGACTACTGCTCGCAAAGATTCAACTGCAAATTGTCGCAAATTGACAGATACTGAAGAATCTACACTTTCAGCATGGATTCTTGATAGTGGACCGTACGTTGGTTTACCT